ATAAGCGTCGATCTAAGCAATTAGGATACGATGACGTGTGTCAACCAAGTCATCGAGCCTGACCACCCGATCTCTTTTACGACAAGCATGGGGTGCTGAAGACCAACCCTGGCTGAATACAGACGCAGAAATACTGCAAACGATACCCGCATGAAATACATTACAATCGAATAAGTGAGTGAGTGAGTTTAGATTTACATCGCACTCAGCAATATTCCAGCTATAAGGCGGCGGTCTGTAAATAATCAAGTCTGGACAAGACAATCCAGTGATCAACAGCATGAGCATCGATCTACGCAATAGGGAAAATCGAATAACTATTTCGTATTTGGTTCAAGTGCTTCAGTGTGGCCTAGTAGTTAAAGCGTCCGCCTCACGCCGAAACACAGGAGTTCGATTCCCCACATGGTACAACGTGTGAAGCTCTATTCCGGTGCCCCGCGCTGTATTGCTGGAATATTGCAGCTAGCGGCGTAAAATCATACTCACTCGTTTTACTCAGTGAGTGCGTATACCTGTAGATTAGTTGACTTGTTGTTTAACTCCGCATTCGGCAATATTCCAGCTATATGGCGGCGCTCTGCAAATAATCGAGTCTGGACCAGAGAGCCCAGTGATCAACAGCATGAGCATCGATCAACGCAATTGGGATACGATGACATGTGTCAACCAAGTCAGCGAGCCTGACCACCCGATCCCTTTCGTCACCTCTTAAGACAAGACCAATTCTAACCCGGATCTTCACGGGTCGTATACCTGTAGAAACGTTGTATACAATCAATTAGTGCGAAAATAAACGTTGGTACTCCGCACAGGATCAGTAAAATTATTCTTAAGGCAAATTATTTACGAACATGAGTCCCCAATATTAACTTAACCGTTATATTAACTTAACTGTTATATTAACTTAACTGTTATATTAACTTAACCGTTATATTAACTTAACCGTTATATTAACTTAACCGTTATATTAACTTAACCGTTATATTAACTTAACCGTTATATTAACTTAACCGTTATATTAACTTAACCGTTATATTAACTTAACTGTTATATTAACTTAACCGTTATATTAACTTAACCGTTATATTAACTTAACTGTTATATTAACTTAACCGTTATATTAACTTAACCGTTATATGTACGACAAATCAGATTAATCATGTAAGGTATTCCTGTCTATTATTATATACATGCTTTGATCGAAATCTATAAATCGGACAACATGAATATGCCGTTTAGCCTTTTGTGTTTATTCGTCGTAAGGTCGTTCTACTCACATACTCCGAACCCTATATTCTTATCACGCTCTGACCCAAATGTCTGTTCAATTGAGGGGCTCATATACTAACCCAACGTTGGAGATCGTCAAACAATCTGCTTTGACAACGGAGTAAACTTGTGACCTCTGACGAGGCTATTAAGCCTGGTTGTGGTAGCTTTGGGGGGTAGGGTGGTTGGGGTGTGGGGCATATGTTACAGGGCCACATAGCAATTACGTTAGAAATTCTCTGTAACAGCAGGCTCATACATGCCGTTACATTGCCCACTGTTTCTCACAGAGCTGTGAATAAACACGAATTATTTTTGTGTGTGACACTGTTGTGCTGTACATATACTCCCCATCAAAAGTTTAGACTCACCAGTGTAAACGTAGCCACTTACTTCAGTCAACTGTTCTAAACTAGATTTTGTAAAATATTCCATACAGTTTAAAGGTACTGTTTATACATGAGCTGATGTATTGTAAAACAAATTCGTGACGTTGAAAAGTTTATTGTCATGTGTTCAATAAATGATAAAACTCGGTGAAAAATGGCGATTCTTTATCAAAACTTTACACCAAAACGCAGCTGTTCACATGCACGATATTTGCACATGCTTTTCAGCAATTTGATGCATGATCCTCGTGCATTTAATCTGCATAAGGTTTGCAGATGTTTCCCCAAGTTAGTGGAGAAATTCAGCTTTGTTGTAACCATATGTACATACATAACATATAGTGATTAATTTAAGAGTCTAAACTTTTAATGGGTAGTATGTATATATATTCTGTGTCATACTTATCTAAAAGTTTAACCGTAGACACTCGTATATAATAATAGTTTTAATGAAATCTAGTGTCAGATGACCGGATGCCGTTTTAGTATAGTTTTGTGTATATATATACTATTCACACTTTGCTAAGGATTAAATCATTGATTCAACAGAAAACTATGATGTGGGGTCTAATTTGGTTTAAATATCTAAGCTTATTGTAAGCATGGATCCTAGGTTTCAGTATGTCATTTAATCTTGTGGATCCCATTCCTGCTATTGACAGGTGAAGTGTACTTGTGAATGACTCGTTCCATGATTTGCAAAATGGTTGATTGGTGCCATGAAAACCATTTTTATGGTTACCCATGTATCACGTACATAAGGTTAGATTAAAGTGGCTGTTTGCCTAAAGAAGGGCTACCATATTATTTATCCTGTTTTAAATGGATACAATTTCAAATTATGAATCTATGTTTAAGTAAAGTTGGGAATTATTGTGATCCTTAGCAAAGTGTGAGTAGTATATATGTATGTTGTCAGTCAGCATGTGACACTATAATAGAATACAGAACAACACATCCAATCTACTTTCACTTTCAAATATAATACACCGCTCTATCACCCTCTCTATAGTTTAACCGCCGCCATATAGCTGGAATATTGCTGAGTGCGGCGTAAAACTAAACCCACTCACTCACTCTATAGTTTAAATAATAGAAACTAAACACCCGAAACACATAAACAGTGAATAGCCATTTTATTTACATGAACGTGTATCAACAAACAACTGTAAGATATCAGTGTTGCCAGTGGTAGGCATTTCACTGATTCCAACAACTAAACAACATCGTGATCTAAACAACCTGTCTGCGAGTCTTAACTCACACCAGGAATGAAGTTATACGCTGGTATATATACATTGACAATTCGTTTGGCTGTATACATGAATCTAAAGTTGCAACTGCAAGTAGTACCATCCTCGGTGAACCAGGGTATTTTATCTCCACTATTATGTTAATTAAATCAAACACACCTCAGGAGTGAGAGGAGGTCCGCGTTAAGTTTGTAACAGCAGGGACAATCTGCAGCGTCTTCTATTCTCCCTTGTAACAGGCGAGATGAAGATAGTGATGTCACTTCGGACACGAGGCCATGGTGGCGAACGGGTCGAGATTACAAGAATGGAAAGATCACATACTGGACATTGTATTTTATAGAAAGATGTTCAATTCAAATACGTATATAACAATACAAAACATAATACAACTTGTATATCAACTATACTACTCAAACCAGTTAAGGGTCACCTACTATTCGAGGATGGAATAGAGAATAGTAGAGGTGTGACGATACAGAAATTTCACGATACGATACGTATCGCGATATCATGGATATACGATTCGATACGATGCATATCACGATATGCTTCCGTAGTTATTTTCTTTAAAAAGTGTATTTTGATAACAAGAAACAGTGTAAATTTTAACATTACCGTCAATTTCTGGTGAAAATTCACAATTTTAAGGTCAACGATACATATCACGATACGGAAAAATAATCGATATATTTATTGTCAGAAAAAGTATCACGATTATCCATACCACGATATATCGTCACAGCTCTAGAGAATAGCTACCGTAATATGAAAGGTCTGGTAGACCTTAACTTCTTTTGAGTATTATAGCTAAAATGTAGTTTAAAGTATCCCCGACCAATAATATAAATGCAAGCACTTGTTCGAACCGGAGATAGTATAGACCTTGCACAGTTTGTATCGAGTAAAGCGCAGTAGAAGAAGACATCTTGGGCTGTTGACATCGTCTTGTCTGAAATCTTAATACATAAGTGAAAATCAGATGTATTGAGAGGTAATACTACAATCGGTACCATGTCTGTTACAATATTTACATCTGATAGTCTGATTTGATTGTCGTAGCGAGATGTCCAAACATCCGTAACAACAAGAGACAGAGAAACTAACTATAGTAAAACAAAAAACTATGTACATAGTTCAAAATAAATCTATGCTGACTATGAAAACGCATAGTGGAATTTGGGCAGTCTGATTGGTTGTTACAGCTAAAAACGCAATATTCCAGCAAACTGACGGCGGTCAGTATTCTGTAAGTTATTTAATCTGGACCAGACAACCCAGACAACCTCAGCGAGCCTGACCACCCGATCCCTGTGGATCCCAAGCCTGGGTTGCTGAAACCTGTTCGAACCCGGAGTACTGACGAGAACAAACAAATTGATATGTTGCCGAAGTGAGTAAGGTTATTTTTACACCGCTTTTAGCAATATTCAAGCAACATCACGGCGGGGGACACCAGGAATGGGCTTCACACATTGTACTCATGTGGGGAATCGAACCCGGATCTTCGGCGTGACGAGCCAACGCTTTAACCACTAGGCTACCCCACAGCCCCGTATATTGTCGGAATTCACGTTTGTTATACATTGCTTATAGTAAAGTCCACTATGCGTTTTCAAGGTGTTGCAGTTCGCATATAGACGTGTAATTCCCCACCGACTAAGGTGATGAAATATATAAATTACTTCCCTTAGACGCATCAGAATCCTATACTCGTGGGTTCAAAGTGAGTTTCAGCAATATGACAAACTGCTTCCTCTTAGACAAGGGAGTGAGTTTAGTTTTACGCCGCACTCAGCAATATTCCAACTATATGGCGGCGTAAATAATAATCTAGTCTGGGCCAGATGATGACACTATGACATACCATGACAATTGAGATACTGCTAAAAGCGGAATTAAAGGAAGCCAGTGAGCGATATTAAAAGGCTGGAAGATCTAATTAACACATGATCTAATCATATAAAAGTGGAACTGCCTGTTCTGCACAAACACCAAGTTGTAGTGTAAAAATATTTAGAACACAACAGTAAATAACAAGAACAAAGAACAAGTGGCATTAAAATGCACGATCAGTTTGGATTCGTTTGGGGAAGAGCAGCGCTGGTAATCGGAGTTCTGTGTCTACCACATGCAATTATATATATTGCATGTGTAATTATTCAACCGTGTTTGATGAACATTTCATGCATGGTTTGAAGTACAAAATAGAACAATGCCACAACATGATTTCCACACGTTCGGGAAAAGGAGAATCGTACCTCAGAAGTTATGTGCGAATTCCATCCCGTTTGAGGTCGAATGCTATGATTGTACACCATGTTTAGTTCGTTTTAGGCGATGTGTCAATAGCAGGAAGCTGTTAGTTGGTTGGTTTGTTGTTTTACGCCGCACTCAGCAAGATTCCAGCTATATGGCAGATGTCTGTAAAACATCGAGTCTGGACCAGACAATCCAGTGATCAATATCATGAGCATCAATCTACGTAACTGGGATGCGATGACCATGTGTAGGAAGCTGTTAGTATAACCTTGGCATAAAATGGCAGGTATTGCGATCATGAGATCAATACGTTTTAGCAGCCCCCGATTTGTTTAATGCTGATATTCATATTTCACGATACTTCGTAACAGACGAAAATATGTCCTCCGTTATTGCATTACATGCTCTTCCAACAAAAAACCCGGCTTCCCTTGAACATATGATGATTGATTCATTCAGTTTCAGGAAGTGGACTTGTATTCCCAAACACTGAAATCGTATAGGGATTTGCTTGCACGCGAATACAGTTATTTCGGCTCACATTCGTTATTCTGTCCGCTGTTCCACCAAGCATGCTTTCTCCCCCTCAGCTACATCGGTGCTGCTGTATAACGGGGGTCTTTCTACGTCGTATTCCGTATATGGAGGAGGTTTTTCTTGAGGGGTGTAGGGCGGTAAATGTATCAGCTCATTAGGAACTTTAGGACGCGTATTCTTCTTGGGTGCCGTGGTCACATTGCCTAAAAACATACATAAACATTTACTGAGGAATGTAAGCTAATGAAGTGAGTGAGTATGGTTTTACGCCATTTTTGAAATCTTCCAATGAGTAACCCGGGCTTCACATATTGTACCCATGTGGGGAATCGAACCCGGCCTTTGGTGGGACCAGCTTACACCTTAACCACCAGGCTACCTCGTAGCCACTGGGGCGGTAGGGTAGCCCAGTGGTTAAAGCGTTCCCTCGTCACGCCGAAGGCCCGGGTTCGATTCCCCACATGGGTACAACATGTGAAGCCCATTTCTGGTGTCCCCCGCCGTGATATTGCTGGAATATTGCTAAAAACGGCGTAAAACCATACTCAGCCAGCCAGTCAGCCTCGTAGCCGCTAACATTTGTTTATGAATTAACGACATTTATTTTTGGAGGCAGAATTAAACAACAAACAACAAGCAATCCTTTCTGAAGGATTCACACATTGCAAGGGGAGATCACTCTGATCACACGTTCATGATTATTCGTGACCACTCGGTTCTGTGTGAAACGTACAATGAAACCTCGGTTTTTCAAGGAGTGGCGTCATTTTGTCTGGAATGTTTATATCACTGCACAATAACGCTTGAGTACACAGCACATAACATAACTCACTTCCAACCCACCGAACGTCATTGTGGAAGAAGGGACACTGTGTATGGATCCATTATCTTGAGATATCAACACAGTCAGTTGTTTCAGATCAATGAACCACCCTCGTGTATTGTATCGATCGAATCCTGAATGTATTCATAATCGTAAAGGAACTGACTAAAGGACACGCTATTGACAATACCCCAAAGAACAACGAGGCACTATCGTAAGTTACAGACAAACAGATCCAACATTGCAGTGACTTCCTGCTAGCTTCACGGAATTCCTTAAAACATTTCTACTGAAATACCATCGACTTAGTGAAATAAGCACTATTAAGCAGTTCAGTTTTAACGGAAGTTATCCAACGCTGATTGCCTCTTTCAATACATCCAATATCGCTACTAATATGCTATCATTACATCTCATATGTTTGTTACAACTCCACCATCTAAACCCCGTCCACTAGCGTCTACTTTCGCCACTTCCAATTTACTATCAACACTTCCTTCAACCCCTGTACCAAGTTTCTATCGACACTAACTTCAACGTCACTACCAGTTTACTATAAGCGGTACACTCAACTTCACTACCAGTTTACTATCAACACTCTCCTCAACTTCACTACAGTTTACTATCAACACTATCCTCAACTTCACTACCGGTTTACTATCAACACTACACTCAACTTCACTTCCAGTTTACTATCAACACTACCCTAAACTTCACTACCGGTTTACTATCAACACTACACTCAACTTCACTACCAGTTTACTATCAACACTACACTCAACTTCACTACCAGTTTACTATCAACACTACCCTAAACTTCACTACCAGTTTACTATCAACACTACACTCAACTTCACTACCAGTTTACTATCAACACTACCCTCAACTTCACTACCAGTTTACTATCAACACTACCCTCAACTTCACTTCACTACCAGTTTACTATCAACACTACCCTAAACTTCACCACCAGTTTACTATCAACACTAACCACTAAACTTCACCACCAGTTTACTATCAACACTACTTCACTCAACTTCACTACCAGTTTACTATCAACACTACACTCAACTTCACTACCAGTTTACTATCAACACTACCCTAAACGTCACTTTACCAGTTTACTATCAACACTACCCTAAACTTCACTTCACCAGTTTACTATCAACACTACCCTAAACTTCACTACCAGTTTTACTATCAACACTACACTCAACGTCACTTCCAGTTTACTATCAACACTACCCTAAACTTCACCACCACCAGTTTACTATCAACACTACCCTAAACTTCACTTCCAGTTTACTATCAACACTACCCTAAACTTCACTACCAGTTTACTATCAACACTACACTCAACGTCACTACCAGTTTACTATCAACACTACCCTCAACTTCACTACCAGTTTACTATCAACACTACCCTAAACTTCACTTCCAGTTTACTATCAACACTACCCTAAACTTCACTACCAGTTTACTATCAACACTACACTCAACTTCACTACCAGTTTACTATCAACACTACCCTAAACGTCACTACCAGTTTACTATCAACACTACCCTCAACTTCACTACCAGTTTACTATCAACACTACCCTAAACTTCACTACCAGTTTACTATCAACACTACACTCAACTTCACTACCAGTTTACTATCAACACTACCCTAAACGTCACTACCAGTTTACTATCAACAGTACCCTAAACTTCACTTCCAGTTTACTATCAACACTACCCTCAACTTCACTTCCAGTTTACTATCAACACTAGGCGACATTCCTCAACCCTGTAAGAAGAATCGACTACAATTAACACTACGCTTTCCCCTACTACCAATCATGTTTCGCCACTACCAAATAACTATTGACACTATCCAGCAATCACCCATACAAATCCAAATATATCAACGATATGGTTCATGCCCTATTCAAATGGCCCATAAAGACCACGTAGCCTCCGGATGACACGGGGGAGTTCGTTGGAATGGCTGGATATTTACATACATACATGTGGTTCATGCCCTATTCAAATGGCCCATAAAGACAACATAGCCTTCGCATGACACGGGGGAGTTCATTGGAATGGCTGGATATTTACATACATACATGTGGTTCATGCCCTATTCAAATGGCCCATAAAGACCACGTAGGCTCCGCATGACACGGGGGAGTTCATTGGAATGGCTGGATATGTACATGCATATAAATAATTGTCAGATATCACCCAGAGGGGTCAATATAGCACACACTAGATCGATTGATGAATTAATCTCGCCATTAAATATCACTAAACCACATATGACAGTTTACAATGAGCTTTCAGCGTGCTGTGACTTGTGAACTTCAAGTGGGTGTGCGATCAGTTATGTTTGTGTTTGGACTTAATATCTACAGCTCCAGGGCCTCAGTACTTAGAATATTCTCGGTATTATATGCGACGGTGATCAGTGCGTGGCTGGAGTCACCAGTCACTGACAGGGATTTGTTTGAGGAAACATACAGGGTTAGGACAGGTTTGTTTTGTGAACGCAACACAGGGCAAAATCCAAGCACCGTGACAACGGTTTGCGTCAAACACTCGTGTGATTAATATATTTGGTTAAGTAATTAGTTTGCTTGTTGTATGCAGGAATTAGCAGTCATCCAGTTATTTCACTGTCGAATTTGGATGAGACAAACCAGTGGTTGATGCTATGAGTAACGTCTCACAGGCGCACAGAGAGAAACAGACCACACACACGACACAGACACACACAACAAATAGACGCACGCACGCACGCGTGCACACACACACACACACACACACACACACACACACACACACACACACACACACACACACACGTACACACGCGCGCACGCAGGTACACACACAACACAGGCTGATACACGCACATCCCACACAACAAACACACAACAAATAGACGCACGCACGCACGCACGCACACACACACACAAGCGTGCGCGCAAACAGTCAATTCACAGAGGTTGGCCACACGATCCAATTTAGCTGGTAAGAATAAAGTACTTGGGCGTATTTCAACCTGGGATGTCAAAGCCATATTTATAGTCATGGGACCCTGTGTTAGAAACAGACTCAGCTTACAGTACCTGGATTTAAGGATGTAACGAGGTGTTGTGAGCTCCAGGCGGACAGTGCCAGGAGCTTGTGGTAGATGTAGTTTCGTCTGATCCAGTAGATGCCGGCGACACAAAGCAGTAACAGCAGCAGCACGGTCAACCTGCCAACATGGAATGTAAGGACTGGATTATATAAAGACCGTATGGAGGGATGGAGTGGATGGACCATGTTTGATCTGAAGACTGGATAAAGGCACTGAGGGGCGTTGTTTGATCTGGAGAGAGAGGGAGATACCTTGTTTGATCTGGAGACTGGATTTAGGGAGGGATGGAAGGACATTGTTTGATCGAGAGACTGGATTAGGGATGGATGGAAGGGCCCTGTTTAATCTAGAGACTGGATTTTGTCTTTTGGGGTGGGGGTTGGGGGGGGTCTTGTTGGATCGAGAGACTCGATTTAGGGATGGATGGAAGGACCCTGTTTGATCTAGAGACTGGATTGAGGGAGGGATGGAAGGACCTTGTTTGATCTAAAGACTATGTTTAGGGATGGATGGAAGGACATTGTTTGATCTATAGACTGGATTTAGGGATGGGTGGAAGGATCCTGTATGATCTAGAGACTGGATTTAGGGAGGGATGGAAGGACATTGTTTGATCTAGAGACTATTTTTAGGGATGGATGGAAGGACATTGTTTGATCTAGAGACTGGATTTAGGGATGGATGGAAGGACCTTGTTTGATCCAGAGACTGGATTTAGGGATGGATGGAAGGACTTTGTTTGATCTAGAGACTGGATTGAGGGAGGGATGGAAGGACCTTGTTTGATCTAGAGACTGGATTTAGGGAGGGATGGAAGGAGCTTGTTTGATCGAGAGACTGGATTTAGGGAGGGATGGAAGGACCTTGTTTTGATCGAGAGACTGGATTTAGGGAGGATTGAAGGACCTTGTTTGATCGAGAGACTGGATTTAGGGAGGGATGGAAGGATCTTGTTTGATCGAGAGTGGATTAAGGGATGGATGGAAGGAGCTTGTTTGATCTAGAGACTGGATTTAGGGAGGGATGGAAGGACCCTGTTTGATCTAGAGACTGGATTGAGGGAGGGATTGAAGGACCTTGTTTGATCTAGAGACTGGATTGAGGGAGGGATGGAAGGACCCTGTTTGATCGAGAGAGACTGGATTTAGGGAGGGATGGAAGGACCTTGTTTGATCTATAGACTGGATTTAGGGAGGGAGGGAAGGACATTGTTTGATTAAGAGACTGGATTTAAGGATGGATGGAAGGACCCTGTTTAATCTATAGACTGGATTTAGGGATGGATGGAAGGAGCTTGTTTGATCTAGAGACTGGATTTAGGGAGGGATGGAAGGACCCTGTTTGATCTAGAGACTGGATTGAGGGAGGGATTGAAGGACCTTGTTTGATCTAGAGACTGGATTTAGGGAGGGATGGAAGGACCTTGTTTGATCTAGAGACTGGGTTTAGGGATGGATGGAAGGAGCTTGTTTGATCGAGAGACTGGATTTAGGGATGGATGGAAGGACCTTGTTTGATCTAGAGACTGGATTGAGGGAGGGATGGAAAGGACCCTGTTTGATCGAGAGACTGGATTTAGGGAGGGATGGAAGGACCTTGTTTGATCTATAGACTGGATTTAGGGAGGGAGGAAGGACATTGTTTGATTAAGAGACTGGATTTAAGGATGGATGGAAGGACCCTGTTTAATCTATAGACTGGATTTAGGGATGGATGGAAGGACATTGTTTGATCTATAGACTGGATTTAGGGAGGGATGGAAGGACCTTGTTTGATCTAGAGACTGGATTTAGGGATGGATGGAAGGACCTTGTTTGATCTAGAGACTGGATTTAGGGATGGATGGAAGGACCTTGTTTGATCGAGAGACTGGATTTAGGGAGGGATGGAAGGACCTTGTTTGATCTAGAGACTGGATTTAGGGATGGATGGAAGGACCTTGTTTGATCTAGAGACTGGATTTAGGGATGGATGGAAGGACCCTGTTTGATCTAGAGACTGGATTTAGGGAGGGATGGAAGGACCTTGTTTGATCTAGAGACTGGATTTAGGGATGGATGGAAGGACCTTGTTTGATCTAGAGACTGGATTTAGGGATGGATGGAAGGACCTTGTTTGATTGAGAGACTGGATTTAGGGATGGATGGAAGGAGCTTGTTTGATCGTGAGACTGGATTTAGGAGGGATGGAAGGGACCTTGTTTGATCTAGAGACTGGATTGAGGGAGGGATGGAAGGACCCTGTTTGATCGAGAGACTGGATTTAGGGAGGGATGGAAGGACCTTGTTTGATCTATAGACTGGATTTAGGGAGGGAGGGAAGGACATTGTTTGATTGAGAGACTGGATTTAGGGATGGATGGAAGGACATTGTTTGATCTATAGACTGGATTTAGGGAGGGATGGAAGGACCTTGTTTGATCTAGAGACTGGATTTAGGGATGGATGGAAGGACCTTGTTTGATCTATAGACTGGATTTAGGGATGGATGGAAGGAGCTTGTTTGATTGAGAGACTGGATTTAGGGAGGGATGGAAGGACCTTGTTTGATCTAGAGACTGGATTGAGGGATGGATGGAAGGACCTTGTTTGATCTAGAGACTGGATTTAGGGATGGATGGAAGGACCCTGTTTGATCTAGAGACTGGATTTAGGGAGGGATGGAAGGACCTTGTTTGATCTAGAGACTGGATTTAGGGATGGATGGAAGGACCTTGTTTGATCTATAGACTGGATTTAGGGATGGATGGAAGGACCTTGTTTGATTGAGAGACTGGATTTAGGGAGGGATGGAAGGACCTTGTTTGATCTAGAGACTGGATTGAGGGATGGATGGAAGGACCTTGTTTGATCTAGAGACTGGATTTAGGGATGGATGGAAGGACCCTGTTTGATCTAGAGACTGGATTTAGGGAGGGATGGAAGGACCTTGTTTGATCTAGAGACTGGATTTAGGGATGGATGGAAGGACCTTGTTTGATCTAGAGACTGGATTTAGGGATGGATGGAAGGACCTTGTTTGATTGAGAGACTGGATTTAGGGATGGATGGAAGGACATTGTTTGATCGAGAGACTGGATTTAGGGATGGATGGAAGGACCTTGTTTGATCTAGAGACTGGATTGAGGGAGGGATGGAAGGACCTTGTTTGATCTAGAGACTGGATTTAGGGATGGATGGAAGGACCTTGTTTGATCTAGAGACTGGATTTAGGGAGGGATGGAAGGACCCTGTTTGGTCTCGAGACTGGATTAAGGGATGGATGGAAGAACCTTGTTTGATTAAGAGACTGGATTTAGGGATGGATGGAAGGACATTGTTTGATTGAGAGACTGGATTTAGGGATGGATGGAAGGACCCTGTTTAATCTAGAGACTGGATTTAGGGAGGGATGGAAGGACCTTGTTTGATCGAGAGACTGGATTTAGGGAGGGATGGAAGGACATTGTTTGATCTATAGAATGGATTTAGGGAGGGATGGAAGGACCCTGTTTAATCTATAGACTGGATTTAGGGATGGATGGAAGGACCTTGTTTTGATCTATATAGACTGGATTTAGGGATGGATGGAAGGAGCTTGTTTGATTGAGAGACTGGATTTAGGGAGGGATGGAAGGACCTTGTTTGATCTAGGAACTGGATTGAGGGATGGATGGAAGGACCTTGTTTAATCTAGAGACTGGATTTAGGGATGGATGGAAGGACCCTGTTTGATCTAGAGACTGGATTTAGGGATGGATGGAAGGACCCTGTTTAATCTAGAGACTGGATTTAGGGAGGGATGGAAGGACCTTGTTTGATCGAGAGACTGGATTTAGGGAGGGATGGAAGGACCTTGTTTGATCTAGAGACTGGATTTAGGGATGGATGGAAGGACCTTGTTTGATCTCAGAGACTGGATTTAGGGAGGGATGGAAGGACCTTGTTTGATCTAGAGACTGGATTTAGGGAGGGATTGAAGGACCTTGTTTGATCTAGAGACTGGATTTAAGGATGGATGGAGGTACTTTGTTCTGATGACCGGATGGATGTCCTTCGAGTGGATGGTGTTTGCAGGAATAGGCCACGTACCAGAAGTACCACAGCTTGTAGAAGGCTTGATTCAGGCTGCAGCATGTCTGATCACAACAGATCTGGCTGTCGGCACAGCTGAAACACGTGACAGGTCACATGACAATTCAGATTTGCAACACTTGACAGTCACATGACAATTAAGCATGGCGTATATTGTATCTGCCGGTATGTCAGCCTCGTACATAGGTTCGTTACAGGTGGGAACGCATATCTATCAATCATTTAGCCATGCACCCTTTACAATAGTAACTATTCGGTAACACTCGCATCTTTTCGTATCCAACTCCATTCAACTTTTCTAGGAATGTTATTTTTTCAAGAAAGAAAAGGAAACAACAAATCAGTCTTAACATAATTAACTGTGGCATGTGTAGCGGTGTACAAATTCCGAGTCCCAGGATTCGAACCACGACCACCCTGCTACTCATGGAAACGATGCAAAGATTGAAATCGCCTTATAGGATATTGTACGAACGCTTCCAACAGTGACTCACTAGAACACCTTGGTCCTGCCTTGGCTGCTGTGCCAGCATTGTTTCCCCTCAACCTGCCGGAAAGAAGAACAGCGAAGTTTTTCACACTGGTTACGACATATGCAGCAGTTACCTGACAGCGTCGTACAACTGACTAAAGACTGGTGCGTTGCATGTTGGGTACACGGTGGAGGAGAAAAGAACGATGACGGTTGTAGACTTCGAAGAGTATTTCAAACATGGCAAGTCAAAACATGTCAAGATAATATGTCAAAATAGGTCAAGATGATATGTCAAACGTGTCAAAATAATATAGATAATATGTCAAAATACTCAAGAATATATGTCAAAACATGTCAAGATAATATGTCAAAACATGTCAAGATAATATGTCAAAACATGTAAAGATGATATGTCACAACATGTCAAACATGTAAAACATGGTGATATGTCAAAACATGTCAAGATGATATGTCAAAACATGTCAAGATGATATGTCAAAACATGTCAAGAATGATATGTCAAAACATGTCAAGATGATATGTCAAAACATGTCAAGATGATATGTCAAAACATGTCAAACATGTAAAGATGGTATGTCAAAACATGTCAAGATGATATGTCAAAACATGTCAAGATGATATGTCAAAACATGTCAAGATGATATGTCAAAACATGTCAAGATGATATGTCAAAACATGTCAAGATGATATGTCAAAACATGTCAAGATGATATGTCAAAACATGTCAAGAATGATATGTCAAAACATGTCAAGATGATATGTCAAAACATGTCAAACATGTAAAGATCGTATGTCAAAACATGTCAAGAATGATATGTCAAAACATATCAAGATGATATGTCAAAACATGTCAAGATGATATGTCAAAACATGTCAAACATGTAAAGATGGTATGTCAAAACATGTCAAGATGATATGTCAAAACATGTAAAGATGATATGTCAAAACATGTCAAGATAATATGTCAAAACATGTCAAGATGATATGTCAAAACATGTCAAGAATGATATGTCAAAACATGTCAAGATGATATGTCAAAACATGTCAAGATGATATGTCAAAACATATGTCAAACATGTCAAACATGTAAGATGTATGTCACAACATGTCAAGATGATATGTCAAAAGATGTAAAGATGATATGTCAAAACATGTCAAGATGATATGTCAAAACATGTCAAGATGATATGTCAAAACATGTCAAGATGATATGTCAAAACATGTCAAGAATGATAAAACATGTCAAGATGATATGTCAAAAAGATGATGTCAAAACATGTCAAGAATGATATGTCAAAACATGTCAAGATATGTCAAAACATGTCAAACATGTAAAGATGGTATGCCAAAACATGTCAAGAATGATATGTCAAAACATGTCAAGATGGTATGTCACAACATGTCAAGATGATATATCAAAACATGTCAAACGTAAAGATGGTATGTCACAACATGTCAAGAATGATCTGTCAAAACATGTCAAGATAATATGTCAAAACATGTCAAACGTAAAGATGGTATGTCACAACATGTCAAGAATGATATGTCAAAACATGTCAAGATGAAATGTAAAAACATGTCAAGATGATGTGTTAAAATATGTCAAGAAGATATGTCTGACTGACTGAGTTTGGTTTTACCCCGCTTTTAGCTATATTCCAGCAACATCACGGCGGGGGACACCAGAAATGGGCTTCACACATTGTGGGTATTCGAACCCGGGTCTTCGGCGTGACGAACCAACGTATTTCAAACATGGTCAAAACATGTGAAGATAATATGTCAAAACATGCCAAGATAATATGTCAAAACATGTCAAGATAATATGTCAAAACATGTCAAGATAATATGTCGAAATGTGTCAAGATAATATGTCAGAACATGTCAAGATAATATGTCAAAACATGTCAAGGTGATATGTCAAAATAGGTCAAGATTATATAGATAATATGTCAAAATATGTCACGAAGATATGTCAAAACATGTCAAGATAATATGTCAAAGCATGTCAAGATGATGTGTCAAAACATGTGAAGGTGATATGTCAAAATAGGTCAAGATTATATAGATAATATGTCAAGATACGTCAAGATGATATGTCAAAACATGTCAAGATAATATGTCAAAGCATGTCAAGATGATGTGTCAAAGCATGTCAAGATGATATGTTAAAATATGTCAAGAAGATATGTCTGACTGACTGAGTTTGGCTTTACGCAGCTTTTAGCTATATTCCAGCAACATCACGGCGGGGGACACCAGAAATGGGCTTCACACATTGTGGGTATTCGAACCCGGGTCTTCGGCGTGACGAGCCAACGTTTTAACCCTTAGGCTACCCCACCGCCCCAAGAATGATATGTCAAAACAAATCAAGATTATATGTCAAACATGTAAAGATAGTATGTCACAACATGTCAAGATAATATATCAAAACACGTCTAGGCAATATATCAAAACATGTAAAATTGACCTGGCAGTAGGTTACTCCCGTAAGACTGGGCATTATCAATGGCTCAAAACTATGCCACGTTGTGATAATGGTGGCGCTTGAAAGTATATCATTATCAGGATCCTGGGATTCGGATCCATGATGGGGAATCTGGCAAATCTAAGGGTCAAACATTTTTCACAGTAAGATAAGTCGCCTGAGACCAGTGTTTGTGTGGAAGCACATGTATCATCCATTAATATACTCTTCACTAAAATACGGCACGTGTGCTGTATTATTTACACATTGAGCTTTGGCAGGATCCATGTTCACATACAGTAGTCGTAAGAGGCGATTAACGGGATCGGGTGGTCAGGCTCGCTGACTGGGTTGACACACGTCATCGGTTCCCAATTGCGTAGATCGATGCTCATGCTGTTTATCACTGGATTGTCTGGTCCACAATTGATTATTTACAGACCGTCGCCATATAGCTGGAATATTGCTGAGTGCGGCGTTAAACAACAACCAACAAACCAAAATTCAGGTCCGTGGATCGAAAAATAGAAACATAATCAATCCATTTTCAAATTTGTTCTTTCATTCTTAAAAATGTTAAATGGGTGGAAAACAAAAGTCTGGGCGACTATTGATAGTATTGTAATTGATTCACTTATAGATTGGTGGCAATAGTAAATGAGTTGTTTTGATATATCATTTAAAAGGTTCTGCGATTGAAAAACCAAAAAAACAAAGAAACAAAAAAACAAAAAACAAACAAACCCAAAACAAAACAAAACAGTACGTCTTATTCCATTTTAAACTCCGCGAGGAATGTTGCCATGGCATCTGGCAAAATCAAGACCGGTGCTCATGCTCTCAACCACAGGTCCGCGTGACCGAGGCCGCGGTAAAGACTAATAGTATTTAGAACTAGTTAGGTAAGTAGGATTTTTCGATATAAAATACTGAGTGAGGACAGTGCCACACACGACTCTGCAAGTACGCTCGGATATTTTGACTGACCTTTTAAAACGTGACACTTAATACTCCTAATTCAATCCTTGTTTATAGCTGTCAATTAAATAACGAATCCCCTGGAATTGATCGGCATGTTCAACTATAATCGAGTAGCGGCTATTGAGCGAAACAGCCAGAGCGTGAAATAGACGAGTTAGTGTGTAATCATGTCAATAGCTCCTGTCAATCAGATACAAGCTGACAACCCAAGTCGAGTTAGGGCAGGTTATCATGATTATTAAACAGTCCTTTATTTGTGATAAAATTTGTAAAGCGCATTTTATCAAAGCTCGGTGTTATTCGTCAGTTTAATTAGGGCCGACTATAAAAGTTGGAGATTTCCCAAGTCACAATATATTTTATGTGCTTTCTGTCACCGTGATTTTGTTTGAGTGTACATGTGCGTGTGCGTGCGTGAGTGCCATTGTTAAACCGGAGGCGAAATTACTTTCACTGAGCATTCTGAGAATGTGGTCAACTTTAATCAGCTTAACAAAACGATCACGAATCAACTCAGTCAAGTCTTCCTAATCATAACAAACGCTTTGATCATATTGTAACCTTTGACCCGTTGTGTATAAGGAAGGAACATCAACGTGTACTCTGTCCTCGGAACTGGAAAAACAAATTGTACTGAGACCATTAATAGAATGTCTTATAAGGAACTAGGGAACTGTGTTTTGCACTCGGATTATCATCAGAAAGCCTTATTAAGAACTTGGAAACTATTGTGTACTTGGAACATTACGAGAAGGCCTCATAAGGAACTAGGGAACTGTGTTTTGCATTCGGAATATCACCAGAAAGCCTTATAAAGAAATTGGAAACTATTGTGTACTTGGAACATTACGAGAAGGCCTCATAAGGAACTAGGGAACTGTGTTTTGCATTCGGAATATCACCAGAAAGCCTTATAAAGAAATTGGAAACTATTGTGTACTGGGAACATTACGAGAAGGCCTCATAAGGAACTAGGGAACTGTGTTTTTTGTATTCGGAATATCACCAGAAAGCCTTTGGAAACTAAAGAAACTGGAACATTATTGTGTACTCATAAGAACTATTACTGTGTTTTGCATTCGGAATATCACCAGAAAGCCTTAAAAGAAATTGGAAACCTCATTAAGGCCTCATACTAGGGAACTGTGTTTTGCATTCGGAATATCACCAGAAAGCCTTAAAAGAAATTGGAAACTATTGTGTACTGGGAACATTACGAGAAGGCCTCATAAGGAACTAGGGAACTGTGTTTTGCATTCGGAATATCACCAGAAAGCCTTAAAGAACTTGGAAACTATTGTGTACTGGGAACATTACGAGAAGGCCTCATAAGGAACTAGGGAACTGTGTTTTGCATTCGGAATATCACCAGAAAGCCTTAAAGAAATTGGAAACTATTGTGTACTGGGAACATTACGAGAAGGCCTCATAAGGAACTAGGGAACTGTGTTTTGCATTCGGAATATCACCAGAAAGCCTTAAAGAACTTGGAAACTATTGTATACTGGGAACATTACGAGAAGGCCTCCTAAGGAACTAGGGAACTGTGTTTTGCATTCGGAATATCACCAGAAAGCCTTATAAAGAAATTGGAAACTATTGTGTACTGGGAACATTACGAGAAGGCCTCATAAGGAACTAGGGAACTGTGTTTTGCATTCGGAATATCACCAGAAAGCCTTAAAGAACTTGGAAACTATTGTGTACTGGGAACATTACGAGAAGGCCTCATAAGGAACTAGGGAACTGTGTTTTGTATTCGGAATATCACCAGAAAGCCTTATAAAGAAATTGGAAACTATTGTGTACTTGTTTTGCATTCGGAACATTACGAGAAGGCCTCATATAGGAACTAGGGAACTGTGTATCACCAGATTCGGAATATCAAACCATTGACTGGGAACATTACGCCTTAAAGAACTTGGAAACTATTGTGTACTTGGAACACCAACATTACGAAGCCTTAAGGAACTAGGGAACTGTGGAAACTACGAGAAACTATTGTGTAGGTCTTATAAGGAACTAGGGAACTGTGTTTTGAATTCGGAATATCACCAGAAAGCCTTAAAGAAATTGGAAACTATTGTGTACTGGGAACATTACGAGAAGGCCTCATAAGGAACTAGGGAACTGTGTTTTGCATTCGGAATATCACCAGAAAGCCTTAAAGAACTTGGAAACTATTGTATACTGGGAACATTACGAGAAGGTCTTATAAGGAACTAGGGAACTGTGTTTTGCATTCGGAATATCACCAGAAAGCCTTATAAAGAACTTGGAAACTATTGTATACTGGGAACATTACGAGAAGGCCTCATAATGAACTTGAAAACTATTTGTATTAATTCGGAAGATCAAGAGAAGGCCTTACAATCATGCAATGCACAATTGTGGCTGTTTTTCACTACCCGATATGCTGAGTGACACTACACGCATCTACAGGGAGTAAACTAGTGGTTAAAAGGTTCTGTGATATATAACACTACTCTTTATAATTTATTGTTTTACTCCGCGCGGAATGATACAATGTGATCTGGCAAAATCAAGACCGGTGCTCATGCGTTCAACCACTGGTCCGCGATGCCGAGGCCGCGGTAAGAAAACTGTAATATTAAATATCAGACCAAGAACCTGTCAGACCACTTGTTGTTTTCGATATTAAAAGAATTTAAGTAATACCCGTGCCAAATACGACACGGATATCTTGCCTGACCTATCAAAAGACCCGTGAAGATCCGGGTTAGAATTGATCTTCAGTAACCCATGCTTGTCGTAAGAGGCGACTAACGGGATCAGGTGGTCAGGCTCGCTGGCTTGGTTGACACGTGTCATCGGTTTCCAATTGCGTAGATCGATGCTCATGCTGTTGATCCATGGATTGTCTGGTCCAGACTCAATTATTTACAGACCGCAGCCATGTAGCTGGAATATTGCTGAGTGCGGCGTGAAACTAAATTCACTCACTCACTCACCTTTCAAAATGTGGTACTTAATGCCTTTTCACTATTCAATATACGACACTGCATGCATATTTGTTGTGGATACACAACAAAGTGATGGGTATAAAACCTGCCATGCAGTCAGAAGAATATTATGTCTATTTTCACGCATGACTGAGGATTTATTTAATTTGTTTGGTAGGTTGTATAGTACTGTGTTTATAAATAAGCAATTAGATGTAGTGCAATATCAAGTTTAATTTGAAAAATATATGTTTATTTGTATGTTCTCAAAAGATATTAATGATGGAAACGGTTGAATTGTGAGTGAGTTTGGCCTTACTATTTTGTTGTTGTTGTAATATTTGAGTAATATTACAGCTGAAGGACACTAGGGAATTTAAACATTATACCAATGTCGGGAATCGATCGCGGACCGGAGATATGTCGGGCGGCTACATTAACCATCAGGCCACCAACCGCCCAAGCATATACCGAAGGCATTGAGCTGACACCTGCGAAATATTGTATAATAAGTGAGTGAGAGAGTAAGATTGTATGCCGTTTTAGTAATATTTCAGTAATATTACGGCGGGGGATCAAAATAGACTTCACACACCGTTACCATATTGAGAATCGAGCCCGGGTCATCGGCGTGACGACCGAACGCTTTAACCGTTAGCCTACCGCACCGCCACTTATACTTTTAACCTTGAACTCAGCGTTTTAATAAACATGGCCCACAGTCAGAGTTTGGGTGTATGCCCGATATCTAATACCCTCGCTGTGATTCACGTAAGTAAACACAACGTTGAAATGTATACCAACACCATCAACTCGATCAGTGACAGTCTACAGTTAATGGATGAGTATGGTTTACGCCGCTTTTAGCAATATTGTAGCAACATCACGACTTCTCACATCGTACCCATTTCGGGAATCGAACCCGGATCGTCGTTACGTACGAACGCTTGAGTGAGTGAGTTTAAGTTTTACGCCGCTTTCAGCAATATTTCAGCAACATCACGGCGGGGGACACCAGATATGAGCTTCACACATTGTACCCAGTTCGGGAATCGAACCCGGGTCGTCGTGACGACGTGCACACGACATTATATGAATTAACCTCAGAAACTGCAGCCCAGATCCACAACCGACTCTAAACATTGGACTCTACCATGCGACTGCGCTCAACACACCACAATGAATGTCACTTAAGAATATTGTGTTTTCGACACAGTGTCAGGTGACCTGTTGATTCCTGCGCTGAATTAGATTTGAAACCCAATGCGCGGCGTGAGGTTTCAAATGACATATTTAAAGCACCTCAAGCGAATATCAAGAATGTTATTGTAAGCAGCCACTGTGTTGTCACATTATTGGGTTTCAAAGTCATCAATATTTGCTGGCTGTAAATATTTGCCTATCTTGTACAGATGCGTACATGTAGCTTATTTGGATCATTAGTAAGTAATCGAGCCTGGGTCTAGTAAATTGGAGGTTAATATCATGAGGAACAAACTCCGCGCATCGTATACACAGTCAGAATACACAAGGAGTGAGTATGGTTTTACGCCGCTTTTGGCAATATTCAATCAATATCACGGGGAACACCGAAAATGGACTTCAAACATTGTATCGCTTACTGGGAATCGAATCCGGGTCTTTGGTGTGAGCGAACGCTCCACTGGGTTACCTCACCACCCTTGGATACACAAACGGTCAGCCGGTCACAACTCAAACAAACACGGGGAGTACTACAACGGAGTCACGATCAGAGGTTACCCAGTCGACTAACGCACTGAAATTCGCTGTGTCCGCTGAGTTGCGTCCCTTGAGTACATCAGTGTGGGGGAGTTTAGTTTTACGCTGGCTTTAGCAATATTCCAGCAATATCACGGCGGGGGACCAACAAAATGGACTTCACATATTGTACCCATGTAGGGAATCGAACCCGAGCAAACGCTTTAACCACTGGGCTACCCACCGGCCCTAGGCACATCAGAAGCCCGTGATGGTGGGTTTGAATCTTGATTCACTCCTATAATGTTCGTAGGTTATATGATACGTCCTTTGTTTCACGGTTTCACGAAATGGTAAACACCCAAGACCTGTATCACTTCTGGGATTTGTAGTGGTTGAAGCGTTCGCTCGTCACGCCGAAGACCAGATTTGATTCCCCACATGGGTACAATGTGTGAAGCCCATTTCTGGTGTCTCCCGCCGTGATGTTGCTGGAATATTGCTAAACGCGGCGTAAAACAAAACTCACTCACTCACTTCGGGCTTTGCTCCCACATTAAGCAGACATTCCGTGCTGAAACCTAAAATGTTGAAATTCTGAAAGCGGCCTTAATCCAAACCTAATAGCGCGCGTCCGCTCGTCACGCTGAAGACCCGGGTTCGATTCCCTACATGGGTACAATGTGTGAAGCCCATTTCTGGTGTCCCCGCCATGATATTGCTGGAATATTACTAAAAAGCGGCGTAAAACCATACTCACTCACTACACTCGGGTTACTCTGAGTATATTGTATAGTAGCATTTACGGTAACGGGATGTCACAGGTTATTTGACGCTTTATATCAGGGTAAAGGGAACAGCTGTAACAAAGTCACGTGATCATTCCCTCTCTCTTAAATCAACCTAGCGATAAATGCGTGAAGTTTGTGAGTATATATTCGCAAATTAAACGATAAATCATAGACGCAATATACTTTCAAATCATTAAATTTAATCAACATTTGAGATGTGATCAAAACAGAAATTTAGAAATACCACACGACAAACCCGGGAAAGCCGCCGATGCACAGTTATTTGCACTTCTATCTTATTATGAATGTAAATATGATTATGGACCCTAATGATTAAAAACCCAAGAACACTCGTTTCTACTGACCAGCAGACCAGTGGTCAACATCATGAGCACCGATCTACGCAACTGGGAACCAATGACATGTGTCAATAAAGTCAGCGAGACTGACCACCCGATCCCGTTAGTCGCCTCTTACGACAAGCACGGGTTGCTGAAGACCGATTCTGTAATTACAAAAGACCCCCTGCAGTTAGAAAAATGTTAAATGTTATTAATACAGTGTGACGTAACTGACAAGAAAACAATACTCACTATTTCGACAAGAACAGCTGAGAAGAGAATAATTAGTAGGCTGTCCATTCTTGTCACCTTGACATAGCTATAGTGATCCCACCTTGAGCGCCTTGTTACCTGCAATACATATTCATGCACATAACTCGGCCCGAATTATAAGCCCTGGAACATAGTGGAGGGGAGATATAGCATATATTCACAGCCTTACGTTAGGATTCCAGTGTGAATAAATGTGTCCCGTACGAAGTAACATAAACACGCTCCACCGGTGATCCTTCCCGCTGCCTGCAAAGAGACGAGTGTTGCGTCGATGTTGTAAAACAGCTCGTGCAGTCTGCGTTTGATATTATGCCTTGTTGCCGGTTAGCAGATCGCCATCTTTCCGTGAATATCTCTCTCGGTTGTTCTTCTTCTAACCCAGTCTCATCAAATGATTTACGTGTGACGCCAGAAATGTTCTACTTGCGTTTAGGGCTGCTGCTTCGTTTAAGTGTGCCCCAAACCGGGATATTGATACGTAACCGTATAAATAGCTGCGGCTTGCTCGGCGCTCTTGGATCAATACGGACGCGGGCTTTGTACTCCTATCCTAATCACGATTTGGATACTGTTGGGTAGGCCTAGCAGTCAGGCTTCAACTGCTGACGTGCAGAATTGCATGTTCGAGTTGCAACGTATGTATAGATGGGTTTTCGGGATTTTAAGGTCGAATGGACAAAATGTATACGTTTGAGGGGCGGTGGGGTAGCCTAATGGTTAAAGCGTCGAATACCCGGGTTCGATTCCCCACATGGGTTCAATGTGTGAAGACCATTTCAGGTACCCCCCGCCGTGATATTGCTGGAATATTGCTAAAAGCGGCGTAAAACCATACTCACTCACTACAATCAAGTTACTTGCTATATATACGTTGGAATACCGCTATATAACGGTGAAATATATTTTGAAACAATGTTGTAATTGCAATACGCAAATATCAGTAGAGGTTTTTAACATCGTGATTTAACAATAATTAGTTGTCAGGAATGTAGTACTATTTAATGTAAGCAGTAGTGTGGGAGTTACTACATTTTGATACTTTTCCAGAACAGCTTTTGACTAATAGTGGAACTTTTCGGTGGCATTTAAAATTTCAGGACAGAACAAGTACATGCATCTCGTCTAACTTTAGAACGAGACCATTGTTTGTGTGAAAATAATATTTCCGCCATGGATATCCAGCAAAGACCTGGATTGAAAATTGGAAATTAGGCATACAGAATGTACATACGATTTCTGTATCACTAAAACGAACTTAATCGACCTGTTCCAAATGTAAATAATAAAAGCAGTGCCTTTATAATGTTGCGGACATTTGACACACGTGACCCTTTCCCAGTGTCATGGCAACTACATCCAAGAAATATTTGCCACAGAGTATTCCTGCGCTGAAATCGAATTTACCGAGGCCAAAATCGTTTCAGATTCAGCTGACATCTAATTGGCTCAAGAACCCGTGCATCCTTCGTTTAGATTGGGTCGTGAGACTTTAATCAGGGTTCAGGTGGCGAGATCTCCTCGTAGATTTTTTTTATATTTATTGTTGTTTAACGCCGCAGTCAACAATATTCCAGCTATATGGCGGTGGTCTGTAAATAATCGTGTCTGGACCAGACATATTCAGTGATCAACTGCATGAGCATTGATCTACACAATTGGGAACCGATAACATGTGTCAACCAAGTCAGCGAGCCTGACCACCCGATCCCGTTAGTCACCTCTTACAACAAACATGGGTTACTGAAGATCAATTTTAACCCGGATCTTCACGGGTGTCCGCGTAGAAAGGCGATGATAGTGTAACAATCTGATTTACTTCGAAACAACTAAGGTCCTAGATGTATATTGCTGCTATTTATTAATACCATTAAGGTGGCATATGTTCATTTCTTAGGTTCGTTCGTTTAAGTGTAATACGTTCATCATTTCCGTTCGTTTTCTTCAATAACATAAAGCACTCTTGTTGGGAACAAATGAATGGTTTTACGCCGCTTCCAGCAATATTCCAGCAACATCACGTCGGGGGACACCAGAAATGGGCTTCACACATTGTACCCGTGTGGAAATCGAACCCAGGTGTTCGACGCTTTAACCATTAGACTACACCACCGCCCCTTGTCTCCTGGAATATTGCTGACTGAAAGATCCGTTTTTGATTTTGAATTAGTGTTGTTGATATACCACAAAATGTTTCTATAGGAACGAGTATTCTTGGTTTTCTTTGTCATTAGGGTCCATAATCATATTTATATTCATAATAAGATGGGCGTCTCATCATTTTGTCATTCCATTAATATTTCATGATATACACCAAAAGAATACTTCAAGTGTACTTCATCGCCTTTATATGGTACAAGCCCAGACCATTTCGGCACCAAGTCTCCTTTCCGGAAGTGACGTCATTAGCTCTGTCCCGCTCATATCACGTAAACTACACATATAATTAACCTACTGTGGGTCGGCTTTGCATTTCTCCCAATTTGATTTGGAGGGCCCCGATAAACATTTAATGGCCCAATGTAAACTGGAGGCGCATCTGGTTTTCTGATGAATCCTGTTTCTTTTTGCAACATCACGACGGAAGAAAAAATGTGTATAGGAGACGTCATGAACGTTTTGCGCCCATCTGCGTCCGACAGGGGACAGATTTGGCGGAGAAGGCGTTATGGTTTGGGGATCCATCTCATACAACCAGAAATCAGACTTGGTGATCGCTGAAGGGAACCTGACAGCCCAACGTTACATCAACCACGTATTACAGCCTCACCTTCTCCCGATTATTGACCAACAGACACAGATTTTTCAACCAGACAACGCCCGGCCTCATACTGCACGTGCAACAAATGAACTTTTCTGCAGAATTCCAACGTCAATGTCTTGCCATAGCCCTCTAAATCACCAGACCTCAACCCTATTGAACACCTGTGGATACCTCTGGGTCGACGCGTACGTCAACGTCAGCCGCCGCCACAGACGCTGCAACAGCTCGGCGTTGCACTGCAGGAGGAGTGGAGAGCCATTCCATTAAACTTCAAAGGTCCCTTGAACACCGGTGGCCCCTCTCGGAACAGCAGATAAACTAATAATAAATTAATTATCGCACAATCGTGTGTATATTTGCGACATCCTATTCAATAAAACGATAAAAGGGTGAATCTAATGACCCCGTTGTTGTAAGTCTGAAACAGCTATTCGTTTGAGAGAGTGAGCGAGTATGGTTTTACGCCGCTTTCAGCAATATTCCAGCAATATCATGGCCGGGGACCCGAAATGGACTTCACACATTCTACCCATATAGGGAATCGATCTCGGTTCCTCAGCGTGATGAGCGAACGCGTTTACCATAAGGCTACCCCACCACACCATGAACGCGTTTCTAAACATCTAGCGGTCATGAGGTTTATCAAACAATATACAGACAAAATATACAATTGTATTAGGAATTATGCACATTTCATCATTATTTCAATATATAAATAATTTATGATATACACCGAAAGAATAATAAAAATACTCATGCCAATAATGGTTGTCACCCCCTTCAATTTTTTTAATTGGAGAGGGTGTGAGGGGTGTGTGTGTGAGGTGTGTGTGGGGTTGGGGTGGGGAGGGGGGTGACAACCATTTTTGGCATGAGTATATAATTGAAGTTCAGTAATATTTTATACATTTAATTCAGTGAAATATTTGTATGCAGATCAGAACGTTTTGGAAACAGCTGTGGCATAGCTGAGTAAGTCGGGACATGTAACTGACTGACTGACTGACTGACTGACTAAATCGAGTTTTACGCCGCACTCAGCAATATTCCAGCTATATGGCGGCGGTTTGTGAATAATCGAGTCTGGACCAGACAATCCAGTGATCAACAGCATGAGCATCGATCAGAGCAATTGGGAACCGATGACATGTGTCAACCACGTCAGCGAGCCTGACCACCCGGTCCCGTTAGTCACCTCTTACGACAAGCATAGGTTACTGAAGATCAATATTCTAACCCGGACCTTCACGGGTGTCGGAACATGTAACTAAACTTCATTACAAATATATACACTTATATTTTCACCATAATATACAATGCCCCTCCCATCTCCCAGTTTTCGAACTACACTACACGCCAAAAGAAACGTTACCCTCCTACCTTTATGAATTACTGAAAAACTATCAAAGATATGTTAGAAGGTATTAGTTTACAAGAACGCTTAACAACACAGCTGTATGCAAATGACGAAAACAAATTCTCAAATGCATTCATATTTAGGTGAAATGCATCCTTTTCAGGAGAATTAGATTGCCCTATTTTCGTCCATGTCGAAATAAACCAACAACAGTGATTTTAGATGTCCAAAAGAAACGTTGAAATAAAGTTCGGCTTTGATACAAAGATAAACCATTTCAAGTCACCATTTTTCAACTGTTAAAAACAAGAAATAACTGTTGTAGAGTGTGTTAAAATCGGAAAATAATCATTCCTATGATTACAGTCTTTTAAAACATTTTCTGCTGATTTTCATTAGTGAAAACAAGTAAAACGTGTCTTTGGTATTGTGAAAAAAGTGTTTAGGAACATCTTAAATTAGCTTTGTTAACATTTTTGCTTGCAAAGTAACATTTTTCCATTTTCTGTGTACACATAGCAATATCAATCGCCAAAACGCAGCAATATTCAAGCGGTATTTGCACCCATTTCACATGTTGAATGATTCTATAGGGTATGAAGAGAGACTAGAATGCATGATATGATGCACAAGTACGAGAAATATGCCACGATTAACAGCTGAAGAGAGAGAAAGAGCCATTGGGATGGTGCAGATGGGGTCGACATACAATGCTGCTGCCAACGCCCTCAGATGCCACCGTATCACGGTTATAAGACTTATTCAGGGCTTCAGTCAGACTGGGTCACCGTAGACAGACCAAGAAGTGGACGTCCACGCATCACAACGCCAGCTGAAGATAGGTACCTCCGTCACTAAGGCAGGAGGGTAACGTTTCTTTTGTCGTTTAGTGCATATGGCGGCGGGGTGGTAGCCTACTGGATAAAGCGTTCGCTCGTCACGCCGAAGACCCGGGTTCGATTCCCTACATGGGTACAATGTGTGGAGCCCATTTCAGGTGTCCCCCGCCGTGATATTGCTGGTATGTTGTTAAAAGTGGCGTAAAACTCAACTCACTCACCCACTCCAGCTATTTGACTGCAGTCTGTAAATAACTGAGTCTGGTCCAGACAATTCAGTGACTGACATGAGCATCGATTTTCGCAACTGGGATACGATGACATGTGTCAACCAAGTAAGCGGCCTGACTACCCGATCCCCTTAGTCACCTCGTATGACAAACATGGGTAGCTGAAGACCAATTCTAACTCAGAGTTCCAAGGGATCCATAAACAAACATAAGGAGTGAGTGAGTGAGTGAGTTTGGTTTTACGCCGCTTTTAGCAATATTCCAGCAATATCACTGCGGGGGACACCAGAAATGGGCTTAACACATTGTACCCATGTGGGGAATCGAACCCGGGTCTTCGGCGTGACG